CAACCAACAACAAAACCCTCATTGCTTTCAGAAGGCTTTCATTTTATGATGTTGCCAGCTGGAAAAACAACCAAAAGAGCCATCCCTGCATGACTCATCTAATCTTGGTCCATGCTGGCAGAGCATGGGTCGTGCTGCGGCATAAGCACAGCTCTTCCCAGCTGCTTCCCTGCAGAACTACACAGGCAAAGGCTCTCGAGGGACTTTTGGGTCTCTCTTGATGTAGCACACACAGCACTGGACAGTACAGCAGTCTTAGCTGCTCCTCCAAATGCTGAGTTTATGTGTTTAATCATCACCCTCTCCTGCTATGCAGTTTTACCCTGCTGTTTACACATGCTACTAATCATACCAGTTCATATGAGACAGTGCATTCATTTATGTCTCCTCTTAACGTATATTTAATTGTAAACAGTATTATAAGATACCAGTTAAAAACATTATATTCACTTTATCTAATATTGTTAAATAAGATTTCAAAGCATTTAATAATTCCAATGTTTCAAACACCGAAGCCAATACACTGCAAGACGAAGTGAATCACACTCTTCATTAGTTTTAAAGATGAGACTAAACTAAACCTCTCACCATAGTGATTTATAATCTAGCATTATCTAAATTCCAGCAGAGAGGATATACAGCATAAAAATGCTTGAGCTGAGCTAAGAATTTCACAGTAGAATCTTCTAACACATTATTTGATAAAACATGACAGGATTTGTTGAGGAAAATATTTCATCAACTGCATGTGAAACTTCATAGTATCATAAAATATTAAAACAGAACGTCTTTAGAAACAACTCACAACTGCTCAAAGCAATAGCAAATCATGTAAAAAGGCAAATTTGTGATAAAAATGGTCAACTCAACAAGATTTTCTACAGTGGACAAGTAGATTTATGTACCTACATCTTTCTACATTGTAATCATCCCCTTAGCAATCTACGGTAAAGAAAACAAAAGGAAGAAGCCAAAAATATTTTTTGAACAAAAGAATCCATTTTAAAGAGGTATTTAACTCTAAAGTGTTATGTACATACTGGAATCCTAACAGACACAGATTTGTTTCAGAATATAATTTGATTATATTAATTTACTGTATCATTCCATATCTTAATTTTCCCTCAGGTTATGTTTTACCTCATTTTTCATGTTTATGAGCACATTCTGTTTGTATGTCACATTAGCTGTGGTTTATACAGCATGTATTTATTCGAATTTTAAGTTTCTCAGGTGAAAGATCCTTTAGCAGAGAAATTATATTTGTGAGCTCTGTAAATTTTGTTTCTCTTTTAGCTCCATTTTCTTCAATTAAAACATATCATAAAACTGTCACTCATAAACTAAGAATCTGAAATCACAAAGCATCCAGTACTTGATTTATTATTTAAGTGCACTGTTTCCTTTCAGTGCATTCTTATTCTTACACTTTATTAAATAAGATACGGAAAGCAAGAGTGGTGTAGAAAAAGGGGCAAAAATGTACGTTATTTCAGATGCTCTGAAATGTTAAGGAGGTCTAATCACAGAAGTCTCTGAAAGATGAAAGTTGCTGACTAAAAAAAAAGACAGTGAAAAAATAAATGAGTAGAAGTCTTGAACCAAGACCTGTTCCATGAGAGTGTTTCTCTTAAGCTATAATATGAAGCATAGAGTCATATTTTCCCTGTGACACTCAAAACGCTGGCAAAGCATCCTAAATGCCAATTTCAGTTTTGAATTGACTATGATCAGGATAATAGCGTGCATGGAAGGATATGCCCCAGCTACAACTAAAGATACTGCAACTTTCACAACATCTTTACTTTGAGAAGTTGACATTATCAACAGAATCTGAGCTATGAAACTGGAAATATACAGGATCAAGAAAGAAATAACGGATTTAATGGCACTTAGGTGAACATCTTTCAAAGGATCCCTGAATGTATTTACATAACATTGCATTTTCTTTGTGTGTTTCCATAGAGAAGCAATTAATAGGGCTGAGGTTACCACAGACAGTACTAGAGGAAAAAAGCCACCTACAAAATAAAGAAGAAGCAGGTAGAGGTGCAATCCATCCCAGCCAGTGATATATGCTGTGCTATTTTCTCTACAGTTCCCTGTTGTGCTGCAGAGGTAAGTGCTGGGTGTAATCCATAGTAAAGGAAGCGAAGTCACAGAAGAGATCACCAGCGATCCTAGAAGCAGCCATGGGACCATTCCAGCTATTCTGAGCTTCATTTGCAGCAACAGCCATTGGGTGACATTGATTATTTTTACACAGTACAGTACATACAGCCAGGTACAGAACCACAAACTGGCATGGTTTACAAACATCCATATGACAGCAAAAGCTTTGTACACAGAAGCCAACTTAAATTCATCTGCAAAATAGAGACTATGAATGTGCATCAGTATAGTCACCTGCAAAATAAATCTTGATGTGCTCAGAAAGATCAGGATCATATCAGCAGAAGAAATTTTTTTGCTTTTGATCCAGTTAGTGGTATTAACAGCTGTAATAAATCCATTTCCAGTAACTCCAACAACCACTTCAATAGCTACAATACTTATTGAAATTATAACTATTGGTGGCAACATCTTGCTGCTTTGGTCAACTGTGCGTGATTTGATTGTGGAGCTGTGCAAGAAGTTGAGCAGACCTGATGATATCTGACTAGCCCCTGCTCCAGTCTGCTGACCTTATATCTCGGAACAAAAAGACAGCTGGAAGTGATAGCAGAAAATGATTGTTCATGTACTTCCTGAACATGCAAATCAAAGAAGAATATAATAATCAATTCTAAACTCTACCATGCATAAGATTTGCCTATGCTTTTCCCTAGAGACATGGGATAGCTAGTTGGATTAACCTGCCCATCTTTCATCCAACTGTTTATATTCCTACCTAAAATGACAGAATGCTCTGTGGCTCTCTGGTTACATATTTAACCATGTGGAAGGGAATGCATCATGGAACCCAACACAAGCAGCAACATATGTCAAGAGAAAGCAAAAGGTCTTATACTGTAACTCTTGTCTTTCATACTCCTTTGAAGGTCTATCAATTATAACTACACCAAGTAGTGGAAACCCTTTTAACACAGAGAATATTATACAACCTCCAGCCATATTTTAGTAGAGCAGTCAAAACCAAAGCTGTTCTTACCCAAGGGTTACAGCTGCATATAGTTGTCCACTTATATATTAGCTCTGGTGTTGGTCACATATATGGGATCAAAAGATGGCAGTGACCTGTTGTATGATGAGCAGTTATGACAGCTTAGGGAAGCAGAGCAGTCCATATGGCAGAACCCTGTTAGAAACCCCACCTTCTCCAGCTGCCTTCACTGTCCCGGTCTCTGTCCCACCTGCATATCCCAGAGAAGTTTCTTCCTCAAGACAGCAGATCTAGACCTGTTCTTTATGAAAGTCTGTCATTCATCTGCATAGCCATGTCATCTTGGGCTAGATGCTGTAATGAGCATAGCAGTCCACAACAGTGGGTAGGTTCTAATACTGTGTGTCCTGCATTAGTACTTCTTTGTAAAGAAATAAGTCTGGATTTACAGAACAATTAGTCTCCATCTTCTCAGCCTCAGGATCATTAATCCAATCTGTGAACACATTATTAGCACATTAATAAAGTCAATACATTCTTTTTAGAATTAGAGAAGTATGAAACAAAAAGTAAAGACTGACAGGTAGGAAGCAGCTGAGATCATTTGGCTGCTGGAAAAAGTCTGGAAATTGTTTGGCAGTAAATATTTATTAGTTTTGTGAGAAATTTGATATTAATGTTTGGAGTCCATTTCTCAGTGGAGTGAAATGACTCTAAGAAAAAGGTAGACCAAGTTTCTAATCCGAATGTGGTAAAAACTGCCAGTTGGATTTACTGTTTACCATTACATCCAAGCTTCAAGTTTTTGTTGAATTGTTCAGAAGAGAAAGAGCTGAGCTAAATTATTATAAGTACATTTCTTCAATAACTTATTGAAATGAACAGGCAGATCTAAAATCTCCACAGCTTTTCTTTCTGTCAATAGTTCATTCATGTACATTTCAGTTTAGGTCCCAGCAATCACAAGGACTAGGAGCTCTATTTTTTCTTAAAAACCAAGCACACTTTCCTCACCACAACAATACAAATTAAAAAAAAAAAAAAAAGGACACATTTACAAAATATTGTGTATCAGTTCCAGATGACAAAAAGCCCAAGGGAAAAAAGCAAACAAACTTAAACTAAGAACACATCAACATGTTTACTTTTTCTATCATGTTCTTCACCAGAATTATTCACAATAGTGGAAAAGTCACATCTTACTAAGGAAAAATTGATAAAGGAAGTGTAACTCAACGCCTACAGTGTATTTTAAAGTTATATTCATAAAGCTTCCTGAGAATATGCATTACATAATTACAGTAGTCAGTTACCTCAAAAATGTAGTCATTAAGTTACTCAAGGGAACATGACAATAGCACTTTATTTTTATGAAGTTATAAAAACAGGTCTGCAATTACAAAGCATAAGAAACCACAATGGAAGATACAATGTAGAAAAATGTATTACTAAAAGGGATTCTTAGCTGTTTCAACAAAAAGTTACAAAATTCCATTCTATCTTCATATACAGAATCAAAAATGAGAAATTTAAAGATAACCGTGTCTAATCTTTGCCTATCCATTTCATTTTACTTTAAGCAAGTCCGAAAATGGGAATAACTACTTGAGACACAAAAGAACATTCCTGCCTTGAGACCTTCCACTTCAAGAAAAGCCATCATACAACCTTTGGACCCTGGTGGTGTTTAACTCTTTGCAACTAAGGTAAACTAAATTGCCTGTCCCACAGTGACCTGTGTCTGATGTTCTCTGCTCCCAGGAATGGCATCCATATAAATAGTTCTCTTGCTTTTGTCTCGTAGTAGCTCAAGAGCTTCCTGGTGGACGGATACTGTCACCTTCAGAGGTTCTCCAGAGGATTATGAATCTACTCATAGATGCTGTGATACATATGTGCAAGCACCGAGGTACAAAAGGCCAGTTCATGGAGAACAGCAACTAGGACAGCAATGAAACAATGGTGGGTGTAAAGCTGGACATGAGCCAGCAGTGTGCGCTGGCAGCCCAGAAAGCCAACTGTATCCTGGGCTTTTTCTAGAGCAGTGTGGTCAGCAGATAGAGGGAGGGGATTCTCCCCCCTCTACTCTGCTCTTGGGAGACCCCACCCAGAGTATTGCATCCAGTTCTGGAGCCCTCAATATCAGAAGGATATTGACCAGTTGGAGTGAGTCCAGAGAAGCTCACAAAGATGCTCAGAGGGCTGGAACATCTCTGCTATGGGGACAGGCTGAGAGAGTTCGACTTGTTTAGCCTGGGGAAGAGAAGGCTCCAGGGACACTTTATAGCACCTTCCAGTACCTGAATTGGCTAACAAGAAAGCTGCAGGGGGACCTCTTACAAAAGCCTGAAGTGACTGGACAAGGGGTAATGGGTTGAAAGAGGGGAGATTTAGATTAGATATCAGGAAGAAATTCCTCACAGAGAGGGTGGTGAAGCACAGGCACAGTTTGCCCAAAGAAGCTGTGTATGCCCCATCCCTGGAAGTGTTCAAGGCCAGGCCGGATGAGGCTTTGAGCAACCTGGTCTAGTGGAAGGTGTCCCTGCCCATGGCAGGGGGGTTGGAACTAGATGATCTTTAAGGTCCCTTCTGCCCCAAACCATTCTGGGATTCATTCAATGATTCTATGACATGACCATGTCTGATGCTGGCTCCAATATGACCCAAGACACAGTGACCACTGGAAAACATAGTCTCACATCCTGGTATGCAGGTCCTTAAATACTCTTCTTCCCCTTCTTGCCCTTTCCTACCCCCACAATTTAGTTGCAACATGTTTTTGCAGAAAATTGAGTGAGGATACTGAAGGATGGTGGCAGTCTGAGCACCCTACATAGGTGAACCATGGTTACAGGGCATGTACACTGCAGATAAGCCAGACCAGAAGGTTTATACTGAGTGCAACAAATATATGTGATTTAGGTGTTATGCAATATGTCAAGGTGTAGTGACACTAAAAAGAAGCAGGAATAGTATGGCTTGTGATGGGTCACTCTGTAAATGCGAATAGCGCCCTTCAGTCTGGGGACCTTCAGTCTGGGGACCTTCTCTGATTAAATCTTTGACAGCAACCTGAGGGAGGTGTAAAATTGATCTCATGGATTATCCTCACACAACTTGAGAGAGAAAAATACTACAAGGTGGTTCAGTTTGTTTCCTCCACATTCTAGTAAGTTTAAAATTCCTAAATTTGTAACAGTGATTTACAAAAGTACAGGTTTGGAGATCAATGGAATCTATAGTTCAGATTTGGAGATGCTGCATATCAAGAACTTCATGCTGTAGTCAAAGAAGTTTCAGTTTTCAGACACTATTTGATATCATGAAGAATCCACAGCTTAGTCTATTTCTATTTGGAATAAATTATGATGAAAATAATGAGAAATACTGAAAGCATTTAGAAATTAACGAATATTTAGATTGTAGGACTCTTTGACTTCTCAATTATGTAGTCAGGAGATGTTAACATGGTCTTAGCAATGAAACCAGAAACCAATATTTTTTAGACACTTACACAAGCACATGTCCTTGGGTATATTAAATCAGACAGACAGATTAACTTTGGTATCCACTTTAAGACCAGCAGAAATCTGAAGATGAAATGAGAATGGTAATAAAGGAAATGAGGTATTCTGCAAAGTACAAGGAAAGATACAAAGACCTTGCAAAAACAGATAGGTTTGCCACATTAAGGCTCTTTAGTAGACTTCCTTTTGAGCTACAGAGTTAATGGTCATGATCAGACTAGGTTTAATTGGCAGATGAGACACAAGCAACCCTAGAATATGTCAGAGATCCTTGAATTTATCTTGCTGTAAATTTATAAAAGCAGTTCAGCACATAGTAAAGCAGAGAGTAACAATTTTTAAAGTTAATCTTAGTATGATGTTAGTGTGACACAAATAGGAAATACTGGAGAGAAGTGTCTGAATTGATACAATATTTTCCCCTGCAAGATAAATCTCACTGTATAACAGCTTTCCCCTTTTGATTCATGCATTCCAATTAACAACGGTAATAAGTACACTTCCCACAAGCCCTACAATGATTTTAATTGTGGAAGTAGTTAAGAGACATTATTGCAGCAAAGCAAACAAATTCCAACTCTTGTAAAACAATCCCTATTCAGCTCATACAGAAATGCACGAAACACCAATTAACTGGTATCTGGTTAATCTATTGGCATTTTATTCTGAGCAAGAAACATATGAATGTGATACTGAAAGATTTATTTCTGTTATTGTTCAGGAAGGTGCATATCTTGGAACTGTTGCTGATGAATCATGCAACTATTGCCACTGCTTCACAAGTTTTAGTGAGAAGCAATTATCTGTGGCTGGATTGGCTATAGAAAAAATTAGAATATGTTCAATAGGACTGGTTTTCTTCTTCTCATAGAGTTGTTGCTGCTATTTTTGAAGCAAGAGATTGGATTTTGGTGTGGCATGACAGGTGCTCAGACTGTCACAATCATTCATTATCCTCACTCATCCTTCTGCATGTTAAGAGAAGTGTGTTTT